TGATGTACATCTTATTAAAAAAATTGTAAAATACAATAAGAAAAATTAAACAGGAAGATCTTGTTGCATGAATTTAACAAAACTTGTCTGAATGAATACTTGCTGCATAAATATACCTTTTATATAAAATGTAGGAAGTAATTTCTAACAATTTAATGGATTTTATTTATAATTGAACATTATAAATATAATGTATAAAGTAATAAGAAACATACATGCATATATCTCTTATTGCTATATACATATTTAGTGGATAAATATGTTTAAGTAGACACCTGTTTTTTAAATAGTATACTTTCTCCTCCCAGCCTGTTATTTTTGAGTCTTTAATAAACAATGCACCCTTCAACAGGATTTTTTTTTACTAAAGACTCTTGAAAAAAAACAGAGTGGTAGACAAAAAATATATAAAAATAGGTAAGAACTTATTAACTCCTTAAAATGACTATATATATATATATATATATATATATATATATATATATATTTATCTCATAAAGCCAATACTGAAATAAATGTTTTCATGCTAAACGCAATCTTCAGGCCACCTGGCCTGATGATTGTGTTTAGCATGAAACAGTCTGTTGCCTCTATGTGCTGACTTCAATGTTCACTTTTATATTTGCATATGCTCTATCTCTGATATTGAGCACTTTATCCCATAAATATACCATACTTTTAAATTATATATATAATAAATATATGGAAATTATACTCAGTACATGCAGAGAAAATAATCATGTCATCGAAAACAAAGCAAAATTCAAATATTGTACATATTTCTAAACTCTGTCTTTATATAGGTACATCAATAAGTCCATAACTTAATAATGACAGCAAATATTTACTTTCAACATAATCTCTTTCCATGTCAATGCACTTAATACTTCTTCACTAATCACATATATCAAAAATTAGATCATGAAACTTTCACTTCATAATTTAGCTGTGTCAAACTACGGTCCATCCTTGCAGATAAAATATTGAAGCAATAAATAAATTCAGTAAATTGTTAAAAATCCTTGGAAACCACCAATTATGTAATTAACCGACACCTATATCTTTGATAAATTCTTTATCATCATGTTTCAACAAGTGTGTTCTCGAATTATTTTTAGGTGACATATCCATTTATATATACATACATATAAATATACAAGTTCATATTAACATAAATTTAATTCAATACCTTTTTCAAAACAACATTAAGGACAATAGTATTTTGTTGATCTTTATATTCATGGAATGTTGAATATAAAGATCAACAAAATATCTTCACACTGTCTCTGTTATGGAAATTGTTCAATGGAAAGGTATTACATATATCATTCATTGTCGGGATGTTGGTAAATACAAACTGCTTCAAGGACTCCAGATATATACTCAAGGTGGCTTTAGAAGTAAATCCTATGATAAAGTGTTGACACAAGGTAAATAGAGGTTTGAAAACAGAATTTCCCTTCTGTTAAATGGATTGCACTCCCAAGCTAATGTGTTCCATCTGCCCAATTCAAAATACAGTGATTAGATTGGTCTACTCATAAAAAGTAGGGAAGAATTTCTTTTTAATAAATTTTGTAGATTAGCATTTATAAGAACTTTCTGAAGATGTGACAGTTGTCAAAATAAAAAAAAAAACATTGATTTTTTTTTAATCATTTTAGAAAGGTTGTCCTGTTCATAATAAAAAAAATACAGATTGATCACCGAGTTTTTGAAGTTATCTGTACTTTGCTTTTATCTACAAATGTCTAGTTTGGAATTGCGTTTATATTATTTATAATTACAGACTCTTATGAATTAAGGAAAGGATAACATGAGTAGTATGCAGTTATCAGTGACGTAGGCACAATTTCAAATTTGACATTTGTAAATAAAACTGATGTACAGATAACTCTTTAAGAAGTTGCAGATCAATTTGATACAATTTAAATTATGAACAGGACTCCACTTCTAAAATGATAAAGAAAAAATCAATATTTTTCTATTCTGATAACTGTTGTGGCTTGAGGAAGGTTTAATGAATGATTCTCTACAAAAATGACCCCCCACCTCACCAAATTTCCCTATTTTCTTTTCAAAAGTAGATTAGTCAATGTGAATAGTTCCTATAGTATTTACTGAAACTACTAACATTCTCTGCTGATATGAATTGGAAAGACTATATTGAATCCATTGCTAGGTCAGCTGCTAAGAAAGTTGGTTCACTGTGTCATGCAAGACAATTTTTCTCTCCATAATCTATCTTACATATCTATAAGTCTACCATTTATGCATGCTTTGAATATTGCTGCCACATATGGTCCAATGCTCCTGCTATTTACCTTGAGCACCTTGATAAGAGCCAAACAATAACTAGCAATATTATTAGTCCTGATCTAGCTGCTCGGCTTCAGTCACTTTCCTACTACTATAAGGTTACCTCTGTGTCTTTTCTATGAATGCTTTCATGATAATTGTTCGAATGAGCTCTTCACTATGGTACCTAGACGTTTTTTAATTTAAGCGCAGTACTCAACCGGCATTGAGATTTCATCAATTTACAGATGGGCTGGCTAGATGTAGCCATAAATTCTATGCTAACAGTTTCTTTTCTCACTTGTGAAACTCCCTTCTGGCTCCATGCTTTCCAGCCAACTTTAATCTGCAAAAATTTAAATCCAATGTCAATTGATATCTACTGTCCTCCTGATTACACTTTCTTCTTCCTGCTCATTATTAATGTTTCTGTTCCTAATTATTCCACACCCTGTAACCCTTTGTGTTATAGTGGCTTTACTGCCTTGCATGGGGTGATACCAATTAAAAAAAAAAAAAGATAACAAGGAAATGAGAATTGACTGTATATCTCATATAACAAGCCACTAGAACAGAAATCAACCATTAATTTTCTGAAATTTCTTCATTAAATTTTGTATATAATAGCTACTTAATAAGTTCAGCTTAGCCGCGTAAAAGCCACAGTTATAGAGCAAGAACCAAATTAACTACAATGATGTAATATTCTGTATGGTTAGATCATTAATCATTACACAGTAGCAAGGCAATTTATTGGTTCTGTAGTTCCACTAACTCATTTGCTGTTTGGCTACCTTGGCCTTAACTCTTTTACATTTGTTATATTTATGGGATAATATACATCATACTATGGACATCCACAGAGGGAAGAGGTGGTTTTATCTTGATTTTGAGTGTTTCTGCTTGATAGACCAGCAGTTAGTTGTATTTGAAATTTGGTTTTCTAAGTGGCACCTGCTTTAATCAAAGGGAAATGGGAAGTAAACAGATAGATGATTTACTTTTGGCAAATCAAGTGGAAATGAAACAGGGTATATCCAGGTGCTGGTCTCTATTAACAGTTATGCTTGAAACCAGAGGGCGTTCTAGTGAACTCTTGGTAGGAAACAGATGAAACCTCCATTTAGCATTGTCAGCCACCATACTGATACGAGTAAATGAGGGACGAGTTGACATAGCAGAAGTTGTCTCAAGTATCATCTATCTACCCACCCATAAAAATAATTATGAATAAAAATAAAACCTCTACATATAATATAAGAGACAAATTTAGCGTTCTTATTTCTTGACATGGTATTTGTCTTACATTGTGTTACCTTGTGAGTATGTAGTATGCCCTTTCCTAATTTTTTGGTGCTTACCAAGATAATCAGAGTGCATGTGTAACTACCAAGTTTGCCTGTTATACATATGTCTGGTCAGATAGATATGAAGTATTTATGTATGTTTTTTTATAAATATGTCACCTTCTAACAGTTGGAGAATACAATAGTCAGAATAATGTTATAAAATCACAAAGATAAGGATATTTGTTCAAGCAAATTGAAACACAATATATAAATTTAATTATTTAAAAGATGAATTAATTTTCTCAGTTTTTAAATAAATGTGGAATTACAAGACCAAGCTCTCAAATGAGTTTTTGCTAAATTAACAAACAATACAATGAAATTATTTTTTCTTGTAATAATTAATTAGAGAGCGTGTTGCTTTCTCCATGACTGCTTCTTGCTTCAGTAACTTCTCAAGTTTTAATTTTTCTTTCTCATTGCTACAAATTGTCAAGAAGAGACTATTCTTCTTGCGTGCACGCCCTCTCATCTGTACTAAAGCCGTTATGGAAGTAGGTGGCTTCATTGTTATAACAAGGGAGCACTGAGGGAAGTCAATACCTTCTTCTACCACTGAAGTGGCTATGATCACCTGGTGCTCATTATTCTTGATTTCTTCTAGTGTCTTTTTCTGGTCATTGACATTCATACCAGTACTTGTACCTGCACCATGACCAATGAGTGACACAGTGCTGAGAGAATACTTTTTCATACTGGCGGACTCTTGCAATATTTTACTTAGTCGTACAGCAGTAGTTCGCTGCTTCACCAAAACTAACACTATCGTGTTATCTTCTTTGCTTTGCTTGTTTATAAAGCTGATGATCTTGCAGATCAGAAAGTAAACTGTTGACATTATTTCATCTTGTTCACAGATTACATTAGTGGTTCTTGTGTATTTTTCACACAATTCTTTGATTTTATGACAGGGAATGCCAAGTTCCAAAGCTTTAGAGAAACCATCAGTTGTGTTATTTGGATCTAAAAGTGATTTCAATTCTTCCAAAGCAAGTGGGATACCCATCTCTAAGGACACTTTTTTTAGCGAAGGTTATTTTTTTCATGTGCCACAACAAACTTGTACTTGCTGCTTTGTCTTTATCTATTAGCAGGACAGAGTAAGCATTCTGAAGTTCATCTAACTTTTCAGCATCTAGCACAACCTTTTCATTACTTGCTAAGAAACCAATATAATTACTTATATTTGACTTATCCTTAAAATACTGTAAACACTGTATGAGGTAATTTTGCAAATGGTAATTAAAACTCATCTCTTCATTACTTGGTGGCAACATTTCAACTTCAAACTTGGCATTGGATTTATATTTATTTAACTCATTCACGGTATCCTCAACAATTACAATGTTGGCATTACCCATATTCACTGAGAGGCTGAGCAGCATTCTTATCGTACCTTCTAGTGTTTCCTCTCCAGCAGGGGAAGCAGTAAGCCCAAGTACTTTAGGACGTTTTTCTTTTTCTAACTTGATATGTTGTGTTGAAAAGATTTTATTGAAAGGATGACTTTTCACACAGTGATGAGATTCATCAAGCACAACAAAACTAAAATCTGACCAACGGAGGACATTTTGATTTATCATGTTCAAGCAGAAGGCTGAAAGTAGAAACAAACAAAAAAATGATTATCAACTCAAGTTCATAGACAATAAAGAAAAATAATTTGATGGTTTGCTACTTCTCTTACTCAGGATAAAATTACAAGAGACTTGCGCAAATTTAGTTTGGGCATAATTTCAAGAGAACTGCACAAATTTAATCTGGGTATAATTGTTGTAATCTAGGGAAGGTTACTGAATAGAATAATCACACAAAGGTTGGTAATGAATGATAATACTTAGGACAAGAACAACATATATAAGATTCACCAGCGGCACATAGAAGTAGTAGTCAATTGCTAGAAGTGAGAAATATATAATATATATCATATTTAATATATATAAAATATGATATAATTGAAAATATTTCTATAATGTTGATTGATTGGTTTTAATGGCATGTCAACTAGTTTGCAGTTATCTTATGCCAAGAGGTAAATTGCGGGAGATGGTCAAATTTATTATATTATGTTTTCTTTCAAAGATTTTCCTTGATTTGTTGTTAGTTGCTAAATGAATTTGGAATCACTTTATGGGATAAGTTTTTAAGGTAAAGTTCAAATTTACTGTTATATTTTTTTAGTATAATTTTATTTCTTTCAGGAAGGACAAAATGATATCCCTACTGACATTTTTGACTACACCTCTCATGCTATTTGTGTTGTAAAAGTGTTGTCTGATAACGGAAAAATCAGCACATTCTATTACAATATGTTTGAGATGCTATACCTTTTGGCTGGTTTTCTTGTTTGAGTAAAAAGGAGTGTGTTAGTTTTGTGTGACTGATACGTAGTTGGGATATAGTGACTGAATTTCCTCATCTTGTTGATTTATATTCATAATAAGCAATAAGGAAGGGTGGGTATAATAAGCTATCAGGCATAATAAGATTACCTTTTATTATTCTCTTTGAATATCACTTTGTTTTTTATTTTCATATTAATATCTGATGCAGCAATTCTTCCTTGTTAAAAACAGATATATTACAAACATACAATCAAAGAAGATACCATATTCAATTGAATTGTTTTTTTTAAAGCCTTCTTTTTTTTTTGTTTACTGTTAGTTTACTGAAAACAAGTCCCAAGGTTGACTCAAGTAGAGAGCTACTGTGTGGGATTGTTGTAAGAAAGAAGGAAGTAAGAAATGCATATTATGAGGATATGTAGGATAGATATCGGTTGATCCTGGATATAGAGGCCAAGATTGTAGTTGCCAAGGAAGTCTGTTCCACAAAGCAACAGTTCTGAGGCAGAAGCTGTCTGAGTGGAACTTGCTCCTTATTAAAAGGGCACATAGGGAATGGGGATGGTTTGTCACAATGAATATGACATAGCGGGTCCTAGCTATGAAGGTGTAATTAAGGAATATAACTCCTTTGAATATCTACCATAAAAATAGGGATAGAATAGTGAGAGGCTAGCAAATTTTTGTCTGTGTGACTGGAGTCACAGGGTGAAAATTCATCACTCAAAAGGCCATGTAAGTGCTTATGAACTCCCTCAAGGCTGGACTGTGGGGATTTGTTTGCACCAGTCCAGATATGGTAGCAATATTCCATTCTTGGTCTGATCTAAGTCTTGTAGAGATTGAACATGATAGCAGGTTATTCTTTTTTTAGCAATACAAAGAACTGGTTAGTTCCTTGTATTGTTCTCCCAGGCTCTTTTGCGATGACATGAATATAAGCATTCCTTTTGGGGTTGGAAGTTAGTTTTATACCCAGTAGATGTTTGAGACAAAGAACTTCTTTGAGGATATGGCCACTCATCAGGATTGGTGCAGGTTTAGAGTCTGCTCAATAATGATGAATTGTTACTAGTTTGGAATGCATTGACTGATACCAGCCAGTCTTTTCTCTATTGAGCAGTGAGAGATAGGTCAGAGGAAAGATCAGTTGCCAGGTACTGGTCATCAAGATATTTGGAGGTGCACCCATGTAGAAATTGCTAATAGTTGAATCATAGTAAAATTATAGTTCTAAGTCTTTTGAAATAGATAAATTCTCTAAAGTCTGCCTGTGTCAAAAACATTATATTGCTAATTGGAATACCTACCAGCTGTTGATATAATTATGTCATGCATCCAGAGGGGTTTGTCCTGAGTCCCAACTACACCACCACAAACGCAGGCAATAATCAGTTCTCGATCAACATTTTTATCGCTATCGTTCAAGTCAAATCTACAGATATAAAAAAAGAGCAAAATTTTTTTAGTATTTACATTGTTTTTTAAATCATTTCACCCTAAGCAAGGTAATAAATGCAAGAAAAAAAATATGATGCAAAGGGTTTCTGTTTGTGAGAGAATATAAGAAAAAACAAAAACAAAACTATTAAGGAAAGAAAACAATAAAAGAAAAAAAATAAAAAAAAAAAGAAGATAATGATTGACATTGCATTTAAATGTTTGAAAACCAAAGTTGACTGAAAAGCAAGAAGCCAGAAGAGTGTTCCACTGGCAAAAAGTGTGAGAGAAGAAACTGTTGTTCTAATCTTTATTGTCATGTTCATAAAGTTCCAGCCATTGTTCTTCAGGTGATTAGAATTTCAAACTGAACCCTTTATTTGTCCACTAGGGTAGATTATTCTAATTCTTCATGCCATGCTTCTTCTAGATGTCTCAGTTATCTCCCTTTAACTCAATTCTCCAAGTTCACCATAAATAAGTACCGAACTCAAAACTCTTTGGGTCAGGTCACTGGCTCCAACCAACACTTTTATCCCCTAGCCATGTGTCCTTGAGAATATCTGTGTATGAATTTTTGGGACTTATAAACTTAATGTCTCAGCAATCAATTTTTACCAGAGCTCATATTGCATTTTTGTTGATATTATTTCTTTTCTCTAGCACTCTGTATTACTGATTCCCATTCATTTCTATGCTTGTCTGGCTTAGGAAATTTTTGTGGCCTAGCATATGTGCTAATTCCTTAAGTTTTCATATTTTTCAGTGATGTTCTCTGTCTATTATTTCAACCTCATCCCACAAGAGGCAGTGATCTCCCTTTTCCCTCCATATGTGGTCAGCTATGCCTGATTTTTCTATTTCCCCCTTGTGTTATGGCTTTATAATGTTCTTGCAGTCTTACCTTAAGGGGCAGCTTGTTTCTCTTTTATATTTCTTACCACAGCTGCACAGAATGGCATACACATAGTCCATAGTCATGTTCTCCTCTATGGCAGGGGAGGGGGTCTTACTGGGGAGAGGTGTCTGGGAAGTGTCAAAACACTTTTGAAGATCATCCTGATGTTATACGGACCACAGAATTTTTGTATTTTTTTCAATAATCCCTTCACATAGGGTACGCAGACTGAAGCTGATTTCTGATTGTTGTTATCCTCTTGTACCCTTCTATCTCAGTTTGTTAGAGCTGCCAGCACGTACCGAGAGTAGTTGTTACATTGTAGGGTACTGCTTATACTAACCATTTCTTAATCATGTGTCTAGGTTGCCACTTATCTTTTGCTCAATGTTGTAAGTAATGGATGATCCCTTTCTTTACACTGTATGGTTAGTGGGAATTGAAGTTGAGGTATTGTCTGGTGAATGTTGGCTTTCAGTATACAAATGTCATGAACCCATACTCTGTTTGAGATATTAGTACAACCAGGAAGGTGACTTTGTTGTTGTTTTCTCTCTCCATTGTGAACTGTATCAATAATTTTATTGAGTTCACATGGTCCAGTAGTAGCTGGAACTCTTCCTGGTGTAGCCTTAGTATGAAGGTGTCATCTACATATCTCAGCCATAGGGTTGGCTTTAGTGATGTAGATTCTAATACCATTTCTTCAAAGTATTCCATGTATATGTTTGTCATTGTTGGTGATAATGGTGAGCCCATTTCTAAGCCTTCATCCTGTCAATATATGTCTGATACAATTCCAAAGTGTATTGTTTGTGTACAGAAAGTCAGCATTTCCATGAGGTTATCTATTAGTGCACTGGTCCATTCTCCTAGGGATGAGTCCAAGGGCAGTCTGTCCCTGACTACTGATAATGTCTCCTCTGTGGGTACCTTGTTGAACAAACTCACCACATCCAGGCTTGCCATCTGAAGTGGGCAAAGTTTTGGACACATGATGACATAGAAAAGGCACAGGGAAGCTGTTGAGAAAGTGACTGAAGCTGAGATGCCAGGTTAGGATCAATAACATTGCAGATTCTTTGTATTTTATCAAGAACATCTAAATACAGAGCAGAAGCACCACACAAGATATGGCAGCAATATTCAAAGCAGACAAATGGTAGATATATAAATAGGTAAGATAGCTTCTGGCAAGAAAGCACAATGCAATAAACCAACTTTTCTAGCTACAGACTTAGCAACTGATTCAATATAATCTTTCCAATTCATGTCAGTGGAAAACATTAGCCCAAAGAGGCACAATGAGTCATCCTCCTGGAGGTTAGTATCAGCCATGCTGATAGAAAGTAAAAATTAATTAAATTAATTAAAAATTGGTTGATTAAAAGAGAGCAGTTTTGTTTTGGAGGCATTAAACACACCATTCCTTGCTCCAATTAACAACAGATTGCAGATTATTTTTTAGATTAGTTGCCCATTTGACCTTATTGAATCAATCAGACTTACTACTAACACAAGAGTAAATAGTTGCATCATCAGCATTGAGAATTGATGACATCAGAAAGTTCGTTGATGAAAATTAGGTTAATGTATGTCCAGGGATAGAGCCCTGGGGGACACCTGCCTTAATGCAAAAAGATCTACAAAAGTGGTCATTCAAGACAACTTTCATTTTGCAATTTGCAAAGAAAGATTGAATCAGTTTAAAAATTTGTCCAGAAATAACATAACCTTTCAACTTGTGAAGATCAGCCTGCCAAAACTTGTCAAATGCTTTTGAGATATTAAAAGCAACAGACCAAGCTTTACCATTCTTCTCTTGATAGATTCTTTAAGCAATAACCATTAAAACAACAGTAGTTGATCTAGAGAAGCAAAAGCCATATTTCTTATCTAAAAGAAGACCATGTGAGCTGCAATGTTTATCCAATTGTTTACATGCAGACTATTGTCTTTATATCTGCTTTTAGTACTACATTCTGGGCATTATGTCCTCCAGGCCTTCATCAAGTGCTTGTTGTTGGTAACCTACAGGGAATTTCAAACTGAACCTTTTATTTAATTTATGGTACCAGACTGTTTGCATTCCACTGTCTACAGAATGAGAACTATCTACTCCTTAGATTAAATAAAGGGTTCAGTTCAAAATTCCCTGGAGGCTACCAAGATTGATAAGCAGCTGATAAGGGCCAGAGGGCAAAAGATTGTGATGACAACAACAAAGGTGAGGACAATAGTTTGCATATAAATAAACTTAATAATGATAACTCCTTATCACAGAAATTCAAATAGAAGTTTTTTTAGTTTTAAAAAAAAAAGAAAAAAAGTCACCTAACACTTTACATTTTTTTTTTTAACATGTGTGATTTTCTGTAAAGAATCTCTTACCATAGTTGCATATGAAGACAAATAAAAGTGGGAAAAAGGTTATATAAAATTTTACAGTAATGTGCTTATTTTTGAAAAGAAAAATGTTCAAAACACTTATTTATGTGGCTTATCTGATAAAGGAATTGAATTTAAACTGAATTTAAACATTTTAAAAACATCAAAAATATGGTTTGCATTTATATATCTTTAAAGAAATGAATAACCATCAAAAAGAAATGGCTTTCCACTTCTTATTCTTCATAGCATTAAGTATTGCCTCTTTACTATAACCACCTTACCTTATTCTGCTATCCAATTACACAAGTTTGTTAGAAAGTTTACCTGCTATTTCATTCTTCTCTGTTTGCTTTCAATATGTCCTGTGTGTGTCAAATTCCCTAAACCCTCTTTCCCCAGTATATTTCAGAAATTTCAACTTTCTCTTTCTGATTGTAAGTACGAGTGTCTTTTTGCTGCCATTTTTCTTCAAACTCACAGGCTTCCTCAGTGGTATTCTCAGCATCCTTTTGTAGAACCACATACCTGTTGCTCCTCTTTATCCATGAGAAAAGTGTACAGCATTCACTACAACAAGTGATGTATTAGACATAGATCAAAACAGTGATACCTCAATAGTAATGGAAACATCAAGTAATTCACTAATTGTCCTCTTTTCTCAAAACTCTAATAGGAGGCATTGTTAAGTAATATAAAAAAAATAGTTTTTCTGCTGTTGTTTAAACTTTGTTTTTGACAGGATTTGTGGATTGGTGTGCTTTTCTTTTAGCATTGTATATGAAAGAATCAGGATAACGGAAAATTTTAAAAATATTTTCCATTTATTTTCTTCATCAGGTAGATATTAGGGGGTCTGTAAATTTTAAGGATTTAAATAAAAACCTATAATTCTTCCAGATTTTATCTTTTATATATACATTTCACACACATTGATTTCTGGTCTGTCTCTGTTTTTCTTTGTTCAGTTTTTCATTTTATTTAAATGAATAGAAATCCCAAATTATGTATAAGCAGAGAGAGAGAAACAGGCTGACTGTGAGAGAAAGGTGAGTAAAGAAGTCTATATGTTTGGTATTCATTTGTTTATAAATTTACCTTAAAAATTTCCCCTTTAATTGTCCTTCAATATACTTCTTCTGCTGAAAGACAAGCAAAACCTTGTCTACCAAAAAAAGGACAGATCTCTTTGGATTTTGCTTCAGCATGTATGAAATTAACATAGTTGCACATAATGTCTTCCCTGTGCCTGAAAGTAAAAAGAAAAAAAAACATTGTAAAATACATAAGAAAATGGATAAATTTGAATTGTTGGGCATCTAAGCGGAACAAATCATGCCACTCACCAAAATACTAAATGTCAATACCAACAGTCACAAACATATCAAAGGTCAATAACAAGTCACTAAAATACCAACAGTTGCCAAAATCCAAACACCTAAGAACATACATGAGCAACAAACATACTGATTGGTAGTAATTTATATATATATAAACCTGAGATGACCATGATTGTTCAGAAACATGGCTGGTGTGTATCTTTGGTTTTGGGGTTTTTTCTCTCTCCAAAAAAATACACACAACCTATGGACCTTTTGATTAACAAGCAAAGTAACTACTTTCATTGCTACATTGGGCATTTGTAGTTTCTTGAATTACCAATCAACAAAATTATTCTATTTTCAGCTTGGTGTGTACACATGTATACCTATTTTTGTATGCATACCTGCTTGTATGAGTACAATTTGTGTGTGAGTATGTGTCTTTGTGAAAACGTATGTGTGTGCATTTGCTCTAAAGTTAGACAGATATCCAATTAATAATCAGTAATTTAATTACTTTCAATAAAGATTAGCAAAAAAAAAATAATGAAAAACTATCAGAATATTATTTAAATTGATTCTATTTGAAATAATTGAAGACTATTAAACCAGAAATTAAATTTCTGTATTAAATGGAAAAAAGAAAAAAAAAGGCAACACCTAATTAATCAGAGAATGTTAATATGACCAATTACGGATATTGCTTCCCATGTTGTGTAAATTTAGTTGTTTTGATATTTTTTACTCTAAAAATTATTTTAGTTGGTACATATGTTTGAGTAGACATCTGTTTTTTGTTTACCTGCTTTTTTTTGTTTTTTAACTAGGAAATTAATGTGCACCAGCCTAGAGACAGAAGTCTTACCAAAGAAAATGTACCTCTCAGCAGAAATCTAACTTATATTCCCTTTTACAGTTAGAGAAATTACTTTTAAACTAAGTGTCATTACTCCTCATTTTAGTTCCTTCTATTATCTCTTTAGTCCTCCATGATTTCCACAATAAAAACAAGTAAAGCTAGCCTCCACTTTACACCCTTATATAGGCATTAGAATCAACGGGGAAGTAATTAAATCATTAACAAGTGTGTCTTACCTATTAGGTCATGGAAAGCCATCATGACAAAACAAGACTCCATTACTCTATTTAAAAAATGCATATTTCTTGTTGGGACCTATAAGTCTATATCTGCTAACTTTATTGTTGTATTTGAAACATACACAAAGTAATTTTTAAGCAATTATGGAATTTTTAATCCAACATTAGTTCTTATTACTATAAATAATAAACATTATATTTAGTGGATACATGTGTTTTAATAGACATTCTGTTTTTGTTCTTTTTTAACAGTGAAAGTAATGTCTATCAACCAGCCCACCCACACACACACACATATATATGTGTGTGCATGTGTGCTATCCGCAGACAGTGTTTCTCTTTAGTGTGGCTAGAGGTCCGATTGCTTTGAGCCGGGATCGAAACCCGACCGATTTAGTATCAGAGATTCTACCCCTAGGCTATCATCACACGGCAGAGAGGAAGGGAAATTTTAACGTTTTCTATATGAAATAGATCAGTAACCCAGAGAACTTAATTCAATTTGGTTGAAAAGCAATGCGTTAATAGCGGTATGAGCCACTATTTTTAAAATTACCCTATTCCCAAGAGAGCTCAACCTGATTTGCTGGGAGCATATGGGTGTTAGTAGGATGTAGAATAATAGCCAAAGTGGAAGAGCTTTTGTTCGGATGTGTTTTACCTCAGGTCAGAATGAGAAACAAACCTTTGTGGAAGGAAAGTGCTTTGAAATTTGCAGCAGTTATTTGATAACACATCTTTTATGGACTATAAATGGAGGATGTAAAACTATGCACAAGGTATAAGATTATAACATTCTCAGCCTCACCAGTTCAAGACTTTCATATGGATGTTATGTATGGCACCAAACTCATTCACTCAGCTGTATACAACCACTTTCTCAGATCAATGATTAAAAATGACTTCAAGCGAATGAGCACTCTAGATTTTAACAAGGACTGTCTTTCTTCAAACCTCGTGAACTGGCATTACAGAATAACAAAGACATCTATTAGATAACAAAAACCACATTACTTTAGAACTACCAACAGCTAAAATGGTTTGCACATGTAACTCAAAGAGAAAATAATTACATAATCAAGATGCTGACATTCCACACTACAAAAGGCGAGGAAGGAAACCCCCATCAATACTGGAAAGAGCAATAAGAGCTACTGGACTTGAGAAACCTATTTTCTTGAAAAATTGTTTTAAGAGAATGATTTTATAAATTTCAATTGAAAGTAGAACTGGCTGCTCGGTTAATGAATGCTTATTTATCAGGAAACAGTTAATAATTACCAATATTATTTCTTTAAACTATTTACATTGTTCAGACTGTTGTTCTCATCTTTGTTTCCATATTCACGATGTTTCAGCCATTGTACGGTCCAACCTTCTTCAGGTGGTTGGAATTTAAAACTGAACCCTTTATTTCGTCCACTGGGGTTGATTGTCCTAGTTCCACGTGCCATACCTCTTCCGGATATCTTAGTTATCTTCCTTTAACTCAACTCTCCAAGATTTTGTTCACCACTGCAGTAGCCAGGTATTGAACTCACAACTCTTTGGGTCAAGTCACTGGATCCAACCATTTCTTTTATTCACTGTGTCATGTGTTCTTGTGACATAGAACAATCTACTCCAATGGATGAAGGATTCAGTTCAAAATTCCAACCACCTGTAGAAGACTGGAGCATACAACAGTGAAAATGTAAATATGGCAACAAAGAGGACAACATTTCGAATAATGTAAATAGTATAAATAATTACAATACCTTATCTCAGAAATATAGATAAATACCATTTCCCTTTAGACAAACAAGAGTATTAATATGGCAGCTTCAAATCTGACACAGGAAAGGAAAAGTTCCGCTGTGCTAATAACATTACCTGCCAACCACGGTGACTTTGAAATAGCTAACTTCTTTCAATTGTCCAGGTGAACAGTCATGAAGTTACCCACAGTGATGTACATTAAGTTCTCATTGTCTAAGATGTTCCTGGGGTTGTAAGAAACAAGATCCACATCAGGCCACCACACTTTTCACAGGGCTTCAGGATACATGTCATCAATTATATCAAAGGGCAGGATGCAATGGTCAATCCTTGGATCGAGGACATGGCTGTATGTGTTCCAGCAGAACTATGCTTTCTCCCACATGGGTTACATGACCCAACATGTCACTCTCAGCACATGGCATTAATCACCTGGTCTACTACATCAATGCCAAGGAGTTAATAAAGACAGCTAGCTTGAATTTGATGGACACCAGGGATAAGAAACACCTGAACTGAGCCTGCAGTTAGTTCCTAGGCTACGTCAAGGCCATCCACATGGCTGAATGTAGTTTTATTGAATAATCTGTTTTTCTAAGCTAAACATCTGTGGACTGATTGTAATATTATTTTTATATATAACATATATATATATTATAATATTATTTAAAAATATATATTCATCACAACACAGAAATTACCATATTTCACAACTAAAAACTAAACTTTAAGTTAAACTTAAAATTAAAGTTTTTGTGCCATTCTCAAATGATTTTGAATAATTTTCAAAAAAAAAAAAAAAAATGATTTACTTTTTTTTTAAGCTAAATAATATTATATAGTTTAAATTGGAGGGGGAAGGGGATTACAAAATTTTAAAAGAGTGTTGCCTTTTTTGATGAATCAGGATACAAATCTAATTTAAGATGGCAAAGTGTAAATATAGGTTAAGGGTTAGGTGTGGGTTTGTAATTTCTGCCTGTCGATACTGGTTTCCTTATATGATGATGTGTCATCACTGTTTTTTTATTTTTTTTATTTAGGGGCATATATAAGATACACTTACATTGGCATTTTTATTTATTTTTTCTAGTATCAACAGGCAGAAATTACAAACCCACATTGCTTTATGTGTGTATAAAACTCAGTGATCAACAAAACGTATATTTATCAGTATAAGTTTTAGTTCTCTTATTATACATCAAACACTGTTTTATTAACACCAGCATTCACTGTGCATTGTGTGTATGTGTGTGTGGGAGTACCCTGTATGTCAGGCTATAAATAAAACTTCAACCAACTTGCTCTTTCAACTGATCTCAAAGTTACTTCTTATCTGTGTCAGGGGATGAGATAAATTACCAGAATTTAACACAATTTAGGTACCTCCACTAATTCAGTATGTGTAAAATTTAAAATGAAGCGTTAAAAATGAAAAAGCTTGCTTGAAGCTTTCATTTTAGCTTTAATTGAAAGCTAAAGGATTTTTACTATTTTCAGTAAGCAAAATGCTGTGTGGTATATTTCAAACAGAAATTAATTGATTGGAATTGATTTTTTTTTTAATAAAATTGATCAAAATGGCCGTTTTTGATACATTTGTAAACAAAAGCTAATTCTTGATTTTAAAAATCTTGAAAAACAAAATATATATCTCTGAAATATTATGTGAGGAAAATTGGCAAAAAGTTAAATTAATTTGATTTGAAACAAATATTATTTACTTAGCATGTTGTGTGCAAACATTACTTAACTATGGGGATATTGTTTTTCTGACATGTTATCGATTTGACAGTCGAATGTGTTCATTGTTAAGTATGGTGGAACAGATGATAAAGTTTTTTTCTTTTGTTTTTTTTTTTTACGGTAAGGGCCAAGGGATACAACCCTTAAAACACATGACCTTTTAAAGCTAGATTTATCAGTTTGTACATCCATACATCAGAAATTCTGCACATACACACATACAAAAACAAATTGAAATTCTTTTAAAAATATTTGGGATCATCAGATTTTAATAAACTTTTATAGTTTTACTTAAATGATATTTCCTAAGAATTATCACAATAAAAATGAATTTTAAAAGATTTAAAAATTTCATAAATTATTCAGTTTAAAATTGTGACAAAATGAAAACAAATCGGTAAATATTGGTTTTGTTACCCGTGTGCTAACACCCCTTAAAATTTTTCCAAAATTGTCATAATTCCGTGCAAATGTACATGTCGAACTCGAATTAACAATTAAATTGTGAAGAAACCTTATCGTTTTGGAGTTATTGACAAGAAAAAATCGGACTTCTTGTTGGTCATTCGTCCCCAATTACTGTCATCATGAATCTCGATCCAGTGGGGGATACCTACGCCGGCGTAATAAGAAAAATTGGCCTATTCACTTCTTTTACAGACTTTCCTTGCAGAAAATTACTACGCACTACTGTAAAGAAATGTAATTTTTTTCTTTGGTAAGTGTAGTTTTATTTATAACAAAAACAAATTAAATAATACAACAGAACCTTTTTCCGTTTTGAATAGCAATGACAAATTAAGAGAACAAATTAAATAATAAAAATAAAGCAATTTTATATTGTAAAATTGAAAATAAAACAAAAATTAATTATTTAATTTGTTTTTGTTATAAATAAAACTACACTTACCAAACAAAAAAAAAAAACAAAAAAATTACATTTACATTTCTTTGCGTAGTGATTTTCTGCGAGGAAAAGTAAATGGGTCCAAATTTTATGACTCCGCCGCAAAGTGTGCCGCAGTGAGTTACTTCTAAATAAGCCGGTAATGGCTGACGAAAGACCGACAAGAAGTCCGATTTGTTTTTGTCGATAACTCCAAAACGGTAAGGTTTCTTCATAATTTAATTGTTAATTCGAGTTCAACATGTACATTTGCACGGAATTATGACGATTTTGGAAAAATTTTAAGGGATATTAGCGCACGGGTAACAAAAACAATATTTACCAACAAATCTTGCAAAAATTAATTTTTTGTAGGAATTTGTTTTTCTTTAAAACAAAAAAGAAAAAAAAAGCAGATAAAAGCTTCTCTAGATAATGTCTGAGTTTTATTGCGTTTTTATTTCATTTTTCGATTCAGAACAGATTTTCGGTAAAACTGGGTACGATTTTGCAAAACAAAAATTCGAGGATTTAAAAATTCGTTACCTACTCCTCTCCTGTTTAAAAGACTAAAGAGGAGTGTAAACCTGGAGATAGGCAAACCTATTTACTCCTACAGAGAAAAATAAATAAATAGTAAATAACATTTCAGAGTTTAAAGCGAAGACGTTGATATTGATGTACTCTTGAAAAGAAAACCCGGAAACCCAATTCTAAACAAGGAATACTGCTGTTCAAAAGACTAGAGAAACAAATGTTAGTTATTATTAGTATTTTTAGTTAAACTTACCTGTAGGTAAAAATATGATAGAGTCAGTCGAATGACATTTTTCAAACAATTCCACCTGGTATCCCCTGGGCATCAATGCTGTTTGATTAAAGGCCTCATCTATTACATCTTCACAAGTCTGTTTCACTGGAGGTAAATTTCTTTCTATTACTGGGCTGGTCATCATTTTTTGTCGATGAATTATTCCTTCAACGTGTTTTTTCACAGCCCCTTGATTCAGTTTGCTCTCGCATAGCTTACAGAAGTAGCAGAGGAGTTTGCCGCTTCTTTCTATTTTCTCAATAAATTTTTGCTGTAAATATGGGATTTCATCTTCGGCTTCAGGGTCTGATGTATTGTTGGCACTTTTGGAGTCTCGACGTCCACTACCAGTAGCTGATGACTGTTTCTGTGCAATATTGTTATTACTCAGGTCTGTTAAATTTTTATTTCCATTAGTTGTAGAATTAATTTTTAAGTTCTTTATTTCGCTAATCATATTATCAATACATTCATTTAAAATGTCGTCTTTTAATTCGGAATGTGCAAAATCATTGATAGTTTCTCCCGGCAAACTAAGGTTATTAGTGTTAAGTTTTTTTGTGGGACTGTTATTGTGCAAGTCGATATTAGTTGTATCAGTAGATTTGTTCTGTTTCAGATTAGGTACAGTTTTCATGATCGAGTCTGTTTCCAAATCTGTTTTAAATGGAATTGTTTCACGTGAACTAGGACTCATTTCAGGACAGAAATCGCTTTCATGGGTAGAATCTGAATTGGCAGGGTGACATGTTTCTTTAAGCACTGTATCTGATGAATCCACAGATGTTTCTGTCAAATTTCCAATCTTTTCTTCAGCCTGCAACTCGCTACTTCCAGAATCGTCGAAGGTACACAAGTTATCTAGGTTTGGAATATTATATTGTGAGTTACGACTTTCACTTACTGTTTCATTATTAGCGATATTCGGAATATTTGTTAAATTCAATTCTTTTTCATTTCTCGGAGGAGTAGACATTCCATTTGAAAAGTCTTTAGTTTGGTTATAAGATCCTTCGTTTCTTCTTACATTTTCATCTGACGACAAATATTCCTTCTTTTCAAAATTAGATTCCATTAAAGTCATTAAACTGTTACGTCTGATGGCTGGATTATTAAGTTCTTTCTTCTTATGTTTCGGACTGTCACGATGGATGTAATATTGTTCAGTTGAATTCAAATAAACGTTACAAATTTCGCAAAGAATCCATCTTGTATTGTCTGTTTTAAATTCTGGAGAGACATTTTGATTATATTTTTTTTCAGTACTCTTCCTCTTATGTCTCTCACTGTTAAAATGATCTTTAGCGCTGATTTCACTAGAAAACTGCATACAACAGTCTATGCACTGTAATGGTATATCCTTCATTTTCATCCGATTTACAGCAATCATGTGTTTTTTTCCTTGGCAATGAGAAATCCTGTGCGATGGTGATGTGAAACGAACATTACAAATGATACATTGAACATCATCGTCAAAAAAACTATCAGGTGAACTGTCTTGGCTTTGACTAAGCATTTGCACCTGATTCAAATTCGACCTACTGTCAATAATTTGCTTTGCTGCGATTTCTTGAGATCTCGCTTTAATTTTATGACTATGTCCTTGTATGTGTTCTTGATACTGTTGTGAGGAGTTTAGTTCAACATCACAGGTTGTACAGTTATATTTCCTAAAGATTGCCATTGCATCGTATTCACTTGGAGACCAATTAGTAGTTGGCAGATTTTTAAGGTTGATGTTTGAACCTTCTGCCATCGTTTTTCTTCTAGGGAGCTGTAATACGTACAGACTATTGCACAATCCTGACAGAAAATAATAATGAAACTAAAAAAGCGGATGTAGTGGAAAAAGCATAAGTTTCATTTTATTTTCTAGCGAATAATGAATCATTTTAATTCATTAAATAACCATATACTGTTTTTCTTCTCTATTCACTTGGAGGGTGACGATGAAAATACTTTAAAATTTTAACTAAGCCAGATTTAAAATAAATGAATGAATTTAATTTAAAAACATTCTTCTTAATATTTTAAAAGTCCTCAGAAAGAAACAAAGTAAAAACACTAAACAGAGTGAAGTCCCTTTAACTATTTAAATTCTGCTTTAAAAGAAATCTCGCGTTCTTTTAAAAAGAATAGAAGTTTCTGTTTACCTAAACAATTTTTTTTTCTTTTTACATATATTAAATACAAAAATGTATCTTGCTACTTAAGTTATTACATTTAAAAAAGTGGAAAAGTCGTTACGTTAAAGAAGTGAAAAGAAGAATCAACGTATTAAAAAGAATGACATGATGACGACATCACCTGAAAGTGTGGTATTTCCCCATTTTTTTTCTTTTCGAAACATAATTGTTGAATCCGAGTTGCCAAATCAGTTGAAGTTTTTCTTCTTCTTTTTTTTTTTTTCGATTTAACTGATAAAAATCTATTTTAAATGAAAATATAGATATTTTTAAAAAATAAAGTTGGCCGATTTAAACTTTAACTCCAAAATTAAAAAGTACAAATTTTGTACGTTTTTTTTTTTGTTTTTTTTTTTTCAAGTTTAAAATTTCACGAAGTCTGTTAGCGAATCACAACAGTTCACCTCGCAACAAAATCGACGAATACTGTTGAAAGTTACAGAAGCTTACATTCTCTTTTGTGTCCTAAACTGGGTGCAATGAAATGTAGCTGTTGCAAATGAAACAGGAGAAAAAGTGGCTTTCATCACGAGAAAAAGTTAAGGGGAGAGTAAGAGGAAGAAACTGAAGAGAGAGAGAAAATCGAACCCGATATTTATTTATTTATTTATTTATTTATAATTTATCTTTTGTTAAACTGACAAAAAGAAAAAAAACGACATTACTTTTTTCACCGTTTCTTTCAAGAACACTCCTCAACATATGTTTCTATTGTAAGTAAAAGTGTATATTTTTAGTCAAATTAATCGTCCTGCAAAACTGTAGTGTAGTGTAAAGAATTGAATTGTATTTGGTTGTGCTATTTTTTTAACTAAAAAATTTAAGTATATAAAAATTTTCAATAAAAATTATGTTCATAAATGACAGGTACCTCCAAAAATCATGCGCCCTTTCGACATGGTGAGAAAAAGATACCTCTTGTGTTCTTAAAACTTTACCAAATATCGGGTATTTATTGGATTTCATTGAAATTTTCAGCATTTATTCAATAATTAATAAAATCTAAATAATTTAAATGCCTTTTTTGAAAGATAATGGTCTCTTAAAGCTAATATGAATGAAAAGAAAATTTAATTTCTGTATATAAACTTTTTTTAGGCATTTTAAAAACTATGGAAAATTTTTTCGTCACTCATCGAATGGCTATTGTATACAAAAAATGTAGGAAACAACAAATTTAAAAATCTCTTTAAAAACCAATGTTTGTCATGTTTCGAAGTCTTAGTAAACTTAACTGGATTTTCCAAAAAAATAATAATGCTTACTTATTACTTAAAACAGAATCAAAATAAATGTTTTATTTACGCACGGTACCTGTGAGGTTTACAGACATAACACTGAAATTTCACTACTTCCGAAAAAGTGCGCGAGAAAATAAAAATAAAAGTAACCTAAAGAAATACGCAAGGTCAGCTGTGCAATAATCAAGATTTTTTTTATTTAGGTTTAAAAGTAAATTTTCTTTAATCTTATATAACCAATAATTTAAGAATATTTTTTTATTCTATGCTTTTATTAAACTTAGTATAAAATTTGAAGGTAAGGCACTACCCAAAGAAAAATATAGCCTGCCTGTAATTTGCATAATGTGAAAAGAAAAAAAGATTATAAGAGTAAATTTTAGAAAAATTATAGTTTTACAAAAGAATATTTTATAAAATGATTTCGTCATAATTCTGAAATTTTTCTTGATGGCTAGGGAAATAAATTATGCAGGAAAAAATGAGATTTCTTTTTAAAATAATAAAAACGTAAGTGAACAATTTATGTTTAATTATTGACGTACGTATTGATTCTTCTTTTATACAAGAATCTTTAAATAAATGAGGGAAACAGAAGCACATGAAAACAAATACCCATACCAATAATGGATAAGAAAACAGTGCTTTTAAGACACAAAAAAACTGATTGAATGGGAGATATCATAACTTCTGATATTGAATAGTAGTCAGTCAAAGCAAGTTATCAGAATTAGTTCCTTTTTTTGTACATCCATATAAAATATAATCCAACAGTTGCTAAAGGGGGAAAAAATAAAATAAAACTCTTTTTTTAAACTCAAAAACGGCATTAAACTTTACATTATATTTTTAATTTTCAAACATTACCTTATTTGATAAAAGAAACTCTTGCAACAAACAGCAACAGGATGAATTTCAGAAAAATAACAAGTAATTTAAAAAAAAAAATTTTAAGTGTAGATTTCTTTTCTGTCCAGTCTGAAAGAAAATAACATGTTTTATTAAACTATGCAAGTAATAATTATCCCAAAAAGTTATTTTTTAAGTTTTACTGAATTATTTTTGGTAAAATGCAGACCAAATTTTCCCATTAATTAGTGTTAAATATTAAAAATATTTAACACTGTTTATTTATTAAATTGTTTATTTACAAGAATAATTTTATATTTACAACATTCTAACTAATAGAATTGTATTACTAATGCAATACAATATTTATCACTTACCAATTTATAAAGAACTAAATATGAAAGCAATTTTTTATTCATAAATGTATAAACATTTACAAAATTATTAAAATATGAGAACTAACTATAATGAAATCCTTATTATTTACCATTTTATAAATTTTGTAGTGATAGCAACACATAAATCCCTAAATAACCTCTGACCCTTAGTATTAAACTATGTAGAAGTATGAAACCAAAGGAATAAATAATTAATATTAAAAGTAAAAGTTAAGTAATATTACATTAAAATATAGATAAGAATGATAGTGGAAATGAAATGCAGACAAAGCAGGTACTCACTTCTAATAACAGTATTGCCCCTGTCAGTGAAAAAGACAACGTTTAGTGTACTGTCTCTGCCAAAAGACAGCACATGGCTACTTTGCCAGAACAGAG